AGGTGCCTTAACTGTTTGGACAGCCACTGCCTTTCACTATTCCAAGCACTCCGTTTAGAAACTGTTGATAAGCATGAATCAGCCACGTGGTAGGCAATGGGGGTCTGGTTTCTTGAAAACATTTAGGAAATTAAATGCAAAGGACTCTGTTAATGCATCTCAGGATGTACATAGGCAACATTTCCCATTTCTTTTTCCCTGCTACAAGGGTACATCTTTACAGGGCATTACCCTTTCTGGGGTTGATATACAAGATGTGCCATGCAATAGGTTGCTGCTTCCAGAGGAGCATAGGGTACATTTTTTAAAGGTAGGACACCTAAAGTTAAATGTGGATCTCGGAGCCTAGGGCTCTAGCTAAAAACCTCTCTCTTTTCAAAGGTACTGAGCCCCAACTGGCTTCAGTGGAAGTGAAGAGTGCGATGATGCAGTTGTGGGTTATTTTGGAGAGAGTCACTTTGTTTTAATACTTTCCTCCACTACAGTTTTTTGTTTTATGTCATATAGTTTGATAATATTTGGGGTAACTGATTTTTAAAAGATACTATTTGAAAATCCCAGTGTAAAGGCATCTCACACCGATTTTGGCACCCAGGGAAGCTGGACACCCGATTCCGTCATGCTCCTTTGAAAAGCCTCGCTTTGAGTCTATGTTTAGACGGAATAGATCACCTACTTAGTACATGGGAAGAGGAAGTGCTAGAATCCCATGGTCATTCCCCGATGCATAGCAAACATCTCTAGAGATGCTACAGTTGAGGAATGAAACAGCCTCTGAAATCAACTTCTGTTTTACAAAGCACTCAAGTTCATCCCTGAGATTCTCTTCTAATGATGACAGCAGGTGTGCCGGCATTGGTAACTCAGCTCTGTGCAGCTCCACACGTAATCATTCAACTTTAATAGGCTGCAAATGAATACCTGCAGAAAGTCTCTCCCAGGGGGTGGGGGAGCCCAATTGGAAACATTTCTGAAGGACATGCCACTCCTTCCCCCGCCACGACAGAGCATACAGCACAGCATTGATTTGGGGCCGTTTAAAAGTTGGAAATGTCAACCATTGTACAAATGGCCTGGATTAATCTAACCCTGTTGAGGAGGATTTGCACGTGTGGGAGGAGACTGGTAGTGCTCTGGGAAAGACTTCCATTTCTAGCCATCGGGCTGAAATCTCTGGGGCAGTTGCTTTGTACTACTAAGTTGGCTTATCCAATCTGGGAAGGATCAACTCAGTGTACAGGTGCTTCACCGGTAGCACAGAGGGGTAGGGGCTGTTTTGCCACTCCTCCTTGCCTGCTCAACGGGTAGTGATCAATGGCTCCATGTCTAGTTGGCAGCCGGTATCAAGCGGTGCACCCTCTGCAAGTTTGCAGATGACACTAAACTGGGAGGAGTGGTAGATACGCTGGAGGGTAGGAATAGGATACAGAGGGACCTAGACAAATTAGAGGATTGGGCCAAAAGAAATCTGATAAGGTTCAACAAGGACAAGTGCAGAGTCCTGCACTTAAGATGGAAGAATCCCATGCACTTCTACAGACTAGGGACCGAGTGTCTAGGCAGCAGTTCTGCAGAAAAGGACCAAGGGGTTACGGTGGACGAGAAGCTGGATATGAGTCAACAGTGTGCCCTTGGTTGCCAAGAAGGCTAATGGCATTTTGGGATGTATAAGTAGGAGCAATGCCCGCAGATCGAGGGACGTGATCGTTCCCTCTATTCGACATTGGTGAGGCCCCATCTGGAATACTGTGTCCAGTTTTGGGCCTCACACTACAAGAAGGATGTGGAAAAATTGGAAAGAGTCCAGCGAAGGGCAACAAAAATGATTAGGGGGCTAGAGCACATGACTTATGAGAAGAGGTGAAGGAACTGTGCTTGTTTAGTCTGCAGAAGAGAAGAATGAGGAGGGATTTGATAGCTGTTTTCAACTATCTGAAAGGGGGTTCCCAAGAGAATGAATCTAGACTGTTCTCAGTGGTACCAGATGACAGAACAAGGAGCAATGGTCTCAAGTTGCAATGGGGGAGGTTTAGGTTGGATATTAGGAAACACTATTCATTAGGAGGGTGGTGAAGCACTGGAATGGGTTACTAGGGAGGTGTGGAATCTCCTTCCTTAGAGGTTTTTAAGGTCAGGCTTGACAAAGCCCTGGCTGGGATGATTTAGTTGGGGATTGGTCCTGCTTTGATCAGGGGGTTGGACTAGATGACCTCCTGAGGTCCCTTCCAACCCTGAGATTCTATGGACATTAGCCATGCCTGTTTTTCTCTGAGTAAAGCAGGTACGGCTGGGACCGGTCTATGCTTTGACTGCGCTTTCAGCTACAGCCAAACCTGGAACATCTCAGCCTCATGTGACAAAGAGGGGAGAGGGGGGGTTGCTACATAGAGCTTTAAGAGCTTGGGGGGTAACAAAGCTGGGTGCTAATTGGAGACCAGGGCCCTATTATACCAGGCACTGAGAACAGATATAATTAAGTACCTTGCTGAATTGGGGCCGTTAGCACGTGCTCACTTTCAAGCATGTGAGTACTTCCATTGCCTCCAACAGGACTACTCCATTCCCCAGTGTTAAAGCCTGTGCTTATGTACCTTGCTGAAGTGGGGCCAGAACAAACCGATCCTGCCCGGAAAAGCCTGTTCTCCTTTGCACCATCCCGTTTGTTATTCCACACTTGTCCGGTAGCATCTAATAGTAGGTGCTAAGCTCTTTGGAGGAGGGAATGCGGATATTTGCTCTGTAATGCACCGAGGGTGCTTTTGGGCCACTGAAATAATAATAATGCAGGCTGACAAGTTACAGTAACTCTTAACAAGCCATTTAATATTCCTCCTCTTGTAGGTATAAAGCCTTACCCGCACCAAAAACTAATCTGCTTCACTAAGGAGAGGACCAAAGAAGTCAAGCAGGCTTAAGTAGGGCCTTAACGTACTTAAGTAGGGCCAGATTGTGATGCTTTTGCTCACACTGAATAGTGCCTTATGGCATGTTTTCGTTCTCTGTTTGTCCAGCAACGAGCCCAATGGGATCCTGGTCCACGAAGGGGCTCCGAGCTGCTATCGTAATATAAATAATTAATAATCCTTGAAACCAGTAGGGTTGTTTGTGGAGAAAGGGGCTACTCAATAGAAGGAAGGAAATCAGTCTGGACCATAGGTTCATAAGACGGCTAAAAAGGGAACCTTATTGGTATGCTCTAGGACAGGTGTCCTTAGCAGATACGTAAATACATTCTCAAGTACAGCAGTTTAGACAGCCCACAAAAATCTTCCCTCCCCCAATTTACAAGGACAAGTTCCTTGTAACCCAGCCATCCTCCGACAATAGCTGGAACTGGCTTGCAGCAGCAATGCCCATTACAGGCACCAACAGGTCTACGTTACAAACACACATGGTGAAGCTCTTGACGCTCCTAGTATCAAAAAAGGCCACCTTCATGGGCTTGCTCCCTCCCGTTCAGGCTGACTCACAAGTGCTGTTGGTGGGTACCGGGATAGGCTTGGGTTACTAACGGTTTTATCGGAAACTTCCAACCAGGTCAGCCATTGCCAGTGCACGACAGGGTGAAGGCCCCTGCAGTCCCACTCACTTCCAGCACATGGAAGGGTTCAGCAACAACCTCATCCTGCGAGTTCCACAGGGGCCTCGTTTAAAAGCCCCCTGAGCTCAGTCAGGATCTTTCCATTGACTTCAGTGGGATTTGGTTCAGGCTGTCTCCATCCAGTAGCTTTCCCATTCGGATACAATCTCGAATTCTAATGAACCTTTCCTGTTACTCCTGGGCATCATTTCTGAGGGGCACCAGTTAAAACTGCTTCATGGGCAGGCGTTTTCCAAATGAACACAGCTCTCAGAGGCTGGGAAGGATTCGATTTTTATCTGCAAATGTCCATAAACATTGATTTCACCATAA